TTTCTTAATTTTGTTATGCTTTTATAGTGGTCATTGTGCCTGTTCTTTCACCACCATCTTCTGGGTTTATGATTGCCACTAATTTTGTTGTGAGTTCGGTAGTATAGTATCCATGGCAGATTCCACCAGCGTGTCCCCTACTTCTCAAACACCGAGGAGTGAGAGTCCCATTATACCTACTACCATGACTGAGAACCCCAACCCTAGTCTGAAAATCACCACTTCTCTATTTAATGGTCAGAACTACCTAGCATGGTCTCAAAGTTTGACTATATTTTTGCAGAGCAGAGGGAAGATGGGGTATGTTGATGGCAGGATACAGGCACCTAGTACCACTGACCCGGGTTATGACCAATGGGAGATTACCAACTCTTTGATTATGGGTTGGTTTATTCATTCGATAGTTCCAGAAATTGGTGAGGGCTACTTGTCTATGGAGACTGCCCAAGATGTTTGGGATGCAGTGGCTGCCACCTATTCCCGCAAAGGGAATTTCTCACAGGCATTTGAGTTGCGCCGCTCTATTGAGAGCTCACTTCTGGGAGAGCAGACTATTCTTCAATATTTCATTTTTCTCACCAACGGCTGGAAACGCCTTGACCACCTGCAAGACTATAAGCCTGTTTGCCCTGCTGATTCTATCAGGTACAAGAAGTTCATCGCACAGGAACGGGTCTTTAAATTTCTGGCAAGCCTAAATGTGGAGTATGATCCAGTTAGGGGTCGAGTTCTGGGTATGGACACTCTTCCTTCACTTCAAGAGGCATTTGCCTATGTACAGAATGAGGAGAGTCGCCGGTCTGCTATGATGTCCCCTGTCTCTACTGACCGCTCTGCATTATTATCTACTCCTCGAGATGGCCTCAACCTGACTCCCATCCCTCCGTCTACTGCTAAGGAGTCTGTCTTCTATGATTATTGTAAGAAGCCGCGGCATACTCGTGAGACATGTTGGAAGCTTCATGGGACTCCATCCAGGGGTCGAGGTGATCGGTCTGGTTCTAGAGGAGGTCGGTTAGGCCAGTCTAGAGGACGTGGTTCCTATTCCCGGGCTCATCAGTCTAGTGTTGTTGATGTTAATTTTAGAAGAGAAAAGATTAGGTTATGAGTGGTTAATCATACCCTTTTATATTAAATCATAAACATAAGTTAAGGCCTAAATAAAGGCCCATTATAGCAAATAAAGAGACTGAATGAGAATAAAATGGGAAATATCCTAACACATTCCAATACTCCCCCTCAAGCTGGTGCAAAGATATCTCTCATGCCTAGCTTGTTGAGAATGTCACGGAACGGTTTAATCCTTAGTCCTTTGGTAAGAACATCAACCAATTGATCCCCAGACCGTACGAAAGGCATACATATAGTGCCACTAGTAAGCTTTTCCTTGATAAAATGCCAATCAATCTCCACATGCTTAGTCCGATCATGTTGAACCGGATTGTGGGCTATATTAATGGCGGCCTTATTGTCACAGTATAGCCTCGTAGAATCTGTCTGATGAATCCCCAAATCCCGCAATAATAATCGAATCCATAAAAGCTCAGACACACCTTGAGCCATAGCTCTGAATTCGGCCTCTGCACTAGACCGCGCAACAACATTTTGTTTCTTGCTTCTCCAAGTAACTAGATTTCCGCCAACAAAGGTACAATAGCCAGAGGTGGATCTTGTATCAGTTACTGAGCCAGCCCAATCAGCATCTGTATATGCCTCCACACTGAGATGACTATGCTTTAAGAAATAAAAACCCTTTCCCGGAGAAGATTTCAAGTATCTCAGAATCCACATAACCACCTCTAAGTGAGTTGCACGTGGAGCATGCATAAACTGACTAACCATACTCACTGTAATAACAATATCAGGCCGTGAATGGCATAAGTAAATAAGCTTACCCACTAGTCTCTGGTATCTCCCCCTGTCTACAGGCTCGCCTCCTTCATCCTCACTAAGCTTTAGTCTGGGTTCTAGTGGTGTATCACATGCTTTACTTCCAAGCATTCCAGTTTCTTTTAGCAAATCAAGCACATACTTTCGTTGACATATGAAGATACCATCTTTGGACCGAGCAACCTCAATGCCTAGAAAGTACTTCAGTTTGCCTAAGTCTTTGATTTCAAACTCATTAGCCAAATACTCCTTTAACCGAGGAACCTCCTCAACATCATCCCCTGTGAGTACAATATCATCCACATAGACAATGAGGGCTATCGTTTTACCATGTGAGGAGTGTTTCACAAACAAAGTATGATCAGCTTGACTTTGTTTGAAACCATATCTCAGCATGGCCTGAGTAAACCTCTCAAACCAAGCCCTAGGAGACTGCTTAAGGCCATAAAGTGACTTGCGTAACCGGCACACCTTTCCTATGGTTTTAACATCCTCAAAGCCAAGGGGAATGTCCATGTACACTTCTTTTGCCAGATCTCCATGGAGGAAAACATTTTTTACATCAAATTGATGGAGAGGCTAGTCAAGATTAGAGGCAAGGGAGAGAAGGACTCTGACAGAATTCATCTTAGCAACCGGTGCAAATGTCTCCTGGTAGTCTACTCCAAAAGTCTGAGTAAAACCCTTGGCCACCAATCTAGCCTTATAACGTTCAATTGAACCATCGGCTTTGTGCTTTACAGTGTACACCCACTTACATCCAACAAGTCGTTTGCCCTCAGGTAACACAGCAAATTCCCAAGTGCCATTTTTAGCAAGCGCTCTCATCTCCTCCATCATGGCATGTTTCCACTCAGGAGTAGAAAGAGCATCTTGAAAATTAGAAGGAAGACTCACAAAAAAAACTTTAGACAAAAAAGCTTTATAGGAAGAAGACAGATTAGTGTAGGAGACAAAATGAGAAATAGGATGTTGAGTACACGACCTAACCCCCTTCCTTTTAGCAATGGGAACATCTAGATCAGAAAGAATTGAGTTACCTGGAGGTTCACCAGAAGGAGAGGATTCTGGACACTCATCAGAAGAAGAAGATAGCAGTGGAGAATCTGAATTGGTCTCTTGTACCCAAGTAACTTTCTGTCTACCCTTGTCCTTAACATACACTTTGCCGTCTTTCATTGTAGATGGAAAGTCAGCATTCTCAATAGTTGGATCATCAGTAATAATAGTCTCAAGAGTCGCAATAACTGATGGTGATGGTAGTGATACAGGAGTCTCTTCACACCAAGGCTCTCCCTAAAGAGATGACGGGGACATCGGGGAGGAGAGAAAATAAGATTGAGATTCAAAGAAAGACACATCCATAGAGACAAACCATTTGCGAGAGGGGGGATGATAACACTTGTAGCCCTTTTGAGTGGCGGAGTAACCCAAGAAGACACACCGAAGAGACCGAGGATCTAACTTACTACGGGTAGGAGAATGGTTATGAACAAAGCACACACACCCAAAGGTTTTGGGAGGAATGGAGAAGGCAGCAGACGCTTGGAAGCCGAACAAAACCTGAAGAGGAGTTTGTTTATGAAGGACCTGGGTAGGAAGTCGATTGATGAGGAACGCAGCAGTGAGAACCGCTTCCCCCCAATAGGATCGAGGAACACGCATTTCAAAGGATAAACAACGCACAATATCAAGAAGATGCTAGTTTTTATGCTCGGCAACACCATTCTATTGAGGGGTATTGGTACAAGAAGTTTGATGAATAATGCCATGAGTGGCAAAATAGCTGGCAAATCCAAAATCAATGTATTCCCCCCCATTATCAGAACGCAGAATTTTGACAACTGCCCCAAATTGAGTGCAAAGCATTTTATGAAAATTTTGAAACACAAAAAACACCTCACATTTGTCCTTCATAAGATACACCCAGGTGGTCCTAGAACAATCATCAATAAAGGTGACAAACCATCGTTGACCCTTTAAAGGCATAAAACGAAAGGGACCCCATACATCAGAATGAATCAAAGAAAAATGAACTAAACTTTATTAATAGAAGGAGCAAAAGAAGCTCTGTGTTGTTTGTCAAGTTGACACGACTCACAATGAAACTCAGAAACATTATTTTAAAACAAAACAGAGGGAAAAAGATGCTTAAGTAACAAAAAAAGATGGATGCCCAAGACGGCGGTGCCACAGCCAGATGTCTTCCTTGGTAGATTGGAAACTGAATGGATGAGTGAGCCAGCTTGTCTGCTTGATCCAAGATATAGAGACCATTCTCGTGTCTACCACTGCCAATCATCTTCCTCGTGATAAGGTCCTGAAAGAGACAATGGTCAGGGAAAAAGGTCACACTACAATTTAAGTCCCGAATAATACGACTCAAAGAAAAAAGATTAACACTAAAATTGGGAACATGTAGGACAGAAGATAAAGGGAGAGAAGCAGTGGCATGAATTAAACATTTCCCAGACAAAGAAGAAATGGTACCATCAGCAATTCGAACTTTATCCTGCCCTGAAGAAGGGGTATACGCGGAGAACAAAACAGAAGAACCAGACATGTGGTCGGAAGCACCCGAATCGATAATCCAAGGTAACGTCTGATGAGAGAGGAAAGCACTTGTAGAAGAAGCTAAGTTACCTGAATGGGCAATATTACCTGAAGATGAACTAGAGGTCTGACGATCTAGCAAGTGGCGAAGAGCAACCTCCAACTCAGAAGTGGAAAACCCCGAGATATCAGCAGGTGAATCAACTGGAGCTGTGAACTGTGGCTCAACTGTATCAGAATGATGGGCTCGGGAAATGGGCCCACGGCCTCGAGACTGTCCGGAGCGACCCCCTCGAGAACTAGAACGGTCTCCACGACCTCCAGATAGTTGCCCATGCAACTTCCAACAAGTCTTACGGGTGTGGCGAGGGCGACGACAAAAATCACAGAAGAGAGTATCCTTCTCAGAAAGAGGACGAGAACCACAATCTCCATCTCGAGAGGGGGTAGAAACTAGGGAAGATCGATCAGAAGAGGCAACCAGAAGCATAGCAAAACGACGACTCTCCTCATTCTGCACATAAGTAAATGCTTCTTGGAGAGAAGGAAGAGCATCCATACCAAGCACACGACTCCGAACAGGATCAAACTCCACATTCAAACCTTCCAAAAACTTGAAGACCCGCACTTGTTCAACAAATTTTCGATAACCAGCAGAATCTGTGGAACAGACAGGCTTGTAGTCCTGAAGATGATCAAGTCGCTTCCACCCATTGCTAAGGAAAGTAAAATACTGGAGGATAGTCATCTTACCCTGAACAGACCGGTCAATAGAGCGTCACAACTCAAAAGTCTATGAGAAATTACCTTTGCGGGAATACGTAGTGGCCACAGCCTCCCAAATATCCTGTGCTGTGTCCATAGACAAGTATCCCTCACCGATCTCCGGAACCATAAAGTGTATCAACCAACCCATGATAAGAGAATTGGTAATCTCCCACTGATCATAACCTGTATCGGTGATACTGGGAGCCTGAACACGCCCATCAACATATCCCATCTTCCCTTTGCTTTTCAAAAATATAGTCAAACTCTGCAACCACGCTAGATAGTTCTGACCATTAAAGAGAGAGGTGGTGATTTTCTGGACAGGGTGGAGAGAATCGGTCATTGAAGTAGTCAAAACAAGACTCGTGCCCTGTGTAGCAGGCTGCAAAGTAGTAGACTCACTAGTCAATTCGGCCATAATGACGTCACGACGAAACCCTCACAAACACATCCAGAGTGAATCACAAACCCGAAAGATGGGAAAATATAATAATGAACTGAAAATAAATTTAAGAGAACATTTTTTTTTCTTTTTGGTTTTTTTTTTTTTTGTGTGTGTGTGTTTTAGAAGACGGAGAGAGATTAAGAATGAGGAGAGAATACAGACTCAAACGCTTACATATTACGAAGACACAGAGAGAGATGAAGACGAAGGAGTTACACGTAGAGACCAAGAGAGAGATGCGCCTGTGCCTGCGACTGGAGTCGCGACTTCGACTGGGGCTGTCGGAACCCTAGGTGCCTTCGTCTGGGGCTGTCGGAGCCCCAGGTTGTGCCTTCGACTGAAGTCGTGACTCCGACTAGGGCTATTGGAACCCTAGGGGCCGTCAACTGGGGCTGTCGGAACCCTAGGTGACATCGTCGGGGGCTTGCGGGCTGGGGTGGTGGTACTGTGGCTTGGTGGTGGTACGGCTAGGGTTTTTTTTTTTTTTTCTTCTAGTTCTGCTACTACTCTGATACCATGTTAATTTTAGAAGAGAAAAGATTAGGTTATGAGTGGTTAATCATACTCTTTTATATTAAATCATAAACATAAGTTAAGGCCTAAATAAAGGCCCATTACAGCAAATAAAGAGACTGAATGAGAATAAAATGGGAAATATCCTAACACATTCTAACAGTTGATACACTTGATTCTAATTCTGTTTCTGTTGGCCAAGCTTCTGATGCTGAGCTTGAGGATACTCTGCGCCAATTGTTGGACCGCCGGTCTTCTATTGCTCTCAGTACAGCTTCCTCGTCCTTTGCCCGCTCAGGTAACTTAGCCTCTTCTCCTTGTGTTTTCCTATGTCATAAGTCTTTGCCTTGGATTATTGATTCTGGTGCCTCAGATCATATGTCTGGCTCCTCTCATCTTTTCTCTGCCTATAAGCCCTCTTCAGGTCTGGCCCGTGTTTTGAACACTTTTCCTAATGGTCTGACTCCATACTACCCCATTGCTAATGGTGAGACCCTTCTCCTAGACCTATCCTCTCTTTCATGGTTGAACTGGTTGACGGGCCCCAGATCATGGCCCAAACCCACTAATGCCTGGATAGCTTGGGTAAAGAGGATGACTGCTTTTGAGGGGCACATGTGGGATAATTTGGGTATTTACCACACCATTCAATTGTCTACCATCTCCTTTGAGGTAGACCCCTGGCTGATTGGTGCATCCATATGTTTCTGGTCCACATCTTGCAATTCTCTAATGCTTTAATCTAGTATGGCCTCTCCCACCATCCTTGATATTATACACCTGACTGGCCTTCCTACTTATGGCCAGGACATCCATGCCATTTTGCCAACCCCTGAGGTTAAGCATGATGTCAAAGTAGGCAATTATGGCAAATTCATTTCGGATCACTCAAAGAAAACTAGCATTTCTTCAGTTACTGAGAAAATTGCTTTTTATTTATGTTGGTTGTGCCAATTTCTTTTTTGTGTAGGTGGCCTTAGAATTACCAAGGAATACCTCACTCTTGCCCTCCTAATCCAAGAGGGAAAACAACTGGTTTTTGCCCCGTTTTCTCTTGGCCACCATGTACAGAGGTTTTTTTTCTCTCCATGACAAAAGAATAAGTCATAGTATGGAGGGCCCTTTTTGGCTTTCCCAAGCCTGACTTTTTGCTTATCTTCCAGAGATTAGATCAAATAGGAGAATAGATTATACACCCATGTGTGAAACCTATGCTGAGTTCTTTCTTTCCCATCGTCTTTCTCCTACTGTTACTTTTGCCCAGTACTTCTCTATTTTTTTGAACCTTTCCATCAACAGGATTTCTTCCCTTCCTTTTCAATCCTTCCTCTTTTCTTCTGCCTCTTTATCTTACATGTATGCTGATCCTACCACTTTGAATGATGACCTTAGGCAAGCTCAAAAGACAGTCTGGAGCATTTGCCTCACCCCTAGGTACATCTTGGTTGGAGGCTCCCATTCCAATAATAGGCACTCTACCTGTGGTTTTGAGAGTTACAACCCTAGTCAATGGGCCAGGCAATTTGGCCTTATCCAAAGCATTCCTCTCCCTTATGTCCATCCTACTATTCATGAGTATGTGAATGCCAGGGTTCAAATCATTGAACAACCTTCTGCTTATGCTATTTTGGCAGAAAACCAAAAGCTTTTGCATAAGCCTAGTTTCTTTGCTTTTGTTGTTAATGCGAGTATGAGCAACAGGTTTAAGGACTGGTGGACTATTCTTTGTGCATTCATATTCCACCAATGATCTTGTTTCCAATTTAATAGCTTCTATTGCATAAATGTATAAGGATTATAATGCCACATCATTAACATCATCATCAAATCTCTAATATTTGTATTCATTATACTCTAGAGATTTACAAAATTATTACCACATGCAATTATGCATTCAACATTCCCAGAATATGAATCTACAGCTTGTGGCACAAGAAGTCAAATACAATTCAATGTTCTCAAGGGCTACAAGTTCCAAGGCTTATGCCCGGTTACACAAAATGGCTGTCAAACTCATACATGTAAAGCCCTTGACTTGGTAACAATTTACAACAAAAGTAAAGAGCCTTGTGCCCAGAAAATACATTCCACGCCTTTAACTCGGCGGGATCACCACATCTTTTCATGCAGAAAATCCCATAGGGTGAGCACAAAGCCCAATAGGAAGATCTTAACAAAATATATACATTTTATATAGTCTCATGAGATGAATGCATATGCCATGTCATGCTCAAAAAACATATCTCTATCTTTCGAAATTCTTGTGCATAATGCAATTCGCACGAGAGGTTCAAATTCCGCCCTAGCGAAATCCCAAATTTGCATGAGCGGATTCTGTGCCTCCACGGGCGGTTTGCTCCAAAGAAAACCCATAATTTTTTACCAAAATCCGCTCGAGCGGGATCCAAAATTCACTTGAATGTTTTTCTGCCCAAAAAATTGTGAAATCCCTGTGTGATTCCACTCGAGCGGTTGCTAAATCTGTAACGCCCCAATTTTTATGCCCAAATGGTAATACAATAGTCATGGCTCTTTAAAGTAAAACTGATAATAAATCATCATACTTGCATTACATGATGTAAATAGTCTTCATGCAATAATACAATTAATCCAACAATAATTAATTAAACCACAAATACCCTCTAGGGTTTACAAATTTCCAAGGCTTGAGCCTGGTTATACAAAACGGTTATTCAACTCCACACATACAAAACCCTTGGCTTGCAATCAGAGTCACAGCAAATGAGCACATTATGCTTTTTATACACACTTCTACGCCTTGCAATCAGAGTCACAGCAAATGAGCACATTATGCTTTTTGTACACACTTCTACGCCTTTAGTTAGGTGGAATCACCACATCTTTTCCTGCACAAAAATCCCGTAGGGTGAGCATAAAGCCTAGTAGAAAATTCTTAACAAAGTATATACCTTTTACACGAGTCTCAAGAGATGGAATGCTTATGCCATGTCATGCCTTTTTGAAAGTAAAACACACCTTTATCATTTGAAAACCAACATGCTCAATGATGTCATGTCATTTCAACTGCTCAACATTTATCAAACTTTATTCGAGGGGTGGTAAATACAACTCTGGTAATCCCTAGGTCAGTGTCTGCAAGTAGACTATACAAGTACTACCAATTTGTCATTTTTACCAGTATCAACTGAAGGGCTCGACACCCATAATCTGTCATTTTACCAGTATTGACTGGAAGGCTCAACACCTATTCTCTGCACTACCTTTCAAGACTTACCATTGTATTTACCCCAAAACCATTTCATAAAAACTTGTTTCTCAACATTTTTTTCTCAATGCAAGTTTTGAAATCAACTTTCAAAATTCAATGTAATCAAATGAATTGATATGCCAATGCAACAATAATCAATACATTACAACAATTCTTCCATTTCCAATTCTTTCACATAATACTACCATTGTGATCAAAATTATCATTTCTCCTTTCAATGCAATTTCACAATATGAATAAATACTTTTATTTCAATTCATCCAAGGGATAACATAATTCCCACATTTCAAACATTTCCAACAACTTAGTCATTTCAAGACTATATCAATACTTTTAAATAACAATTTCCAAAACTTCAACAATTATCTTATTCCATAGAAAACCATCATTTATATGTAATAAATAAACAATTTTCAACCATCATTTATTTTGGCACACAAAATAAATATAACAACATATTCTAAAGATTTTCAACATCTTTCTTAAAACCCCCCCAATTTCTAGGTTTTCTCACCAAAAACCATTCATCTTCAAGTATTTGAGAAGATCTCATCAAAACATCTTTCTTTCATCAACAAGGTTCAAAACCCCCCAATTTCTATCTCAAAGGATCAATTAGTAAACTCACTTTCAAAATCACTCATTTTCTTGAGTCAACAATTAATTTTCAAAACTAAACAAAGGATGATTTTGAAAATTATCTTCATCTTGCAAAAACATATATATAACTCAAAGAAAATCCCTACCTCAAGTTTGACGAAGAAATGAGTTGGAAATCCCAAAATCAACGACGATGAAACTCGATCTCCACCGCACACAACGTAGCCCTCGCCTAGATAACCAACTTTGATGAAGAACTTGGATCTAAATCCCAATGGATTTGGAGAAATCAAAGATCTTGTGAGGTTTTTGGTAGGAAATGTAGAGACAAGGGAGAGGAAATGTCTTTTAGAGAGAGAGAGATACACAAAAGTGACACTCAATCAGCCTAAAAGAGGATAAAAGAGAAAAAAAAAATTTTGAATCCACCTACCTTCCGCACGTGCGGCCCTCCTCCCCCCGCATGTCAGCCGCACCTGCTTATTTAGCAGTGTGCTGCACACCTCACCCCTGAAATCCGCACGTGC